TAAAATATTTTGCTCTCTTCATGTAGCCTAAGATAATTTTACAGGACACAGAGAATCCTTACTTTATTAATTAACACCAATGAACCTGGGTCTTAAATATTATAATAAAGATGGGACATCTGAATATTTACCATAATCAGCATTGAATCATTTAACAATTACTTTCAAAATCATTCAGAAGTTTACCTTGTAAAGTTTGTCCTGGAACATTCCAAAACTGACCAAAATATTAAATATCTGAACTATTTTACATAAAAATTCACCTCTTTACATACCAAAAATTATAGTTTGTGAAGTACTTTCACTTTTAGTATTTAATATCTCCATAATACTGGCTTGTTTATAAACTATCCCCTGAACTGCATTCAAGGAGATATTCCTTCCTGAACTAACAGAGATACACATACAACTACATTTGTTGGAACTTAACAAGTCTGCCTGTAATCAGTTGATTGTAAGAAAGCATTCCTTATGCGTACATCCTCCCTTACTGACCGCTACAAATCCTACCACGTGAAGACAGTCACACACTGAAATAGAGGAACCTGGGAACTGAATTCTCAGCGGTCAGGTGGACACGCAGAACCACAGATGCCCGTAGTAGTCATGAGAAAAGACTCACCTCCGATGGCTTGGGGATGCTGAACTTGGAAAGCTTGGCCTTGGCTCTGGTGGACTCTGGCTTGGCGGCCGGGACGCCCCTGTATGATGTGCAGTGCACGCTGGTTTCCGTGGACGACTTAAGCTTCGGAGACTCATCGGGAGCCTGATCTTGGCCATCCATCGGCCGCACGTATGCGGTCGGTTTCTGCTGGACCAGGCTGGGTTTGGAAGCCAGGGATGGAGGAAAGTTCTGAACACAGTGTCCACTGCCGCTGTGCTTGGCTGCCATAGCGGGTGGTCTTTCCTGGGTCTGAAGACCCACCTCTACATTGCACACCTGTTTGGCCCGTGGCTGCTGCCTGCCAGCGCCATCTCCAAGCAAGGTCCTGAGAGAGCTCTGTTGTGCTGAGTTGGAAGAAGAAGGAGAGGGGGGTGAGGGTGAGGGGCTGGACACACAGTGGTTAGGCTTTTGATTAGGGTTCTTTGGAGGAGCAGATCTGGTCAGATCAATCAACCTGTGTCCGCGCTTACTTGCTCTCTGTGGGCCGTCGGGAGGCGGGTGCCCAGCCTTCTGCCAGCCCACGGTGCCCCTCTTACTCTGCTGCCCGGGGACAGCCGCTGGTGTGGAAGATGCAGTGCTGCACACAGAGGAGGCCTGGGGCTGGGCTCTTGAATCTGCAACAAAATGTTCCTCGATCTTGTTCACAGCAGCCTGAGGAACCCCAGGTTTGGGAACGCCAACGAGATGACTCTGATTAGATCTATCAGTTAAAAAGTCCTTCATTTCATCGTAATTGCCTAACGTATTCTGGATCCGGTTGGAGAGCTCATCCCCCTTGTTAGTCTGGAGAAGAAAAAGCACAGCCTGTTGTTAGAGACAATGGGAACACGGCAAACAACGGCGAGGTGCCGTTATCGACCACAGAGCTGCCACATACAGAACGCGCGCTGGAGATGAAATCTAAACCGTCATCTCTGAAGAAGTCCGCCAGCACTCGCTGCACACCAGGCCCAGAGAGCTGGCCAGGGCCGTGGCTGCACAAAAAGGCACCTGTCCTGGGGCCTGTGCAGCCGCTGAGGACGCGCAAACTGCACTCTTGCACCTCCACACCATGGTCCGACTGAGGCTCTCCAGGAGGGGACTTCTTCCTTTTTGTAGCCCCATCGGAAGCTTTTCTTACAAATTCAGATTTGGCTCAAACTGTTCTCTTTCCAGTTTCTAACTATATAATTATTCTTGTCAGAAACCCAGAGTGGCAGGCGAAAGAAGTTAGAATGAAGTTTAAATGAACATAGGCTAAATATGCAAGAAGCTATGAGCCTAAACTACACAAGCTCCATGCGGCCTGAGATACTGGGATGACATTCCATTTCGGAAGAGTGGTTATATTTCTGGCCTCTGGTATAAAGGAAAACCAATCCAACAGTTTCTTTCTTATTAGCCCTGTCAAGTTACCCTGGGACCAGCATGATCCACGTGTGACAGATATGTAACCCAACCTCTTTTAATAGTGTTTGTTTCCTAACACCTTAGAGAATATAACAAATAGCACTGACTTTGAAAATCAATGCAGAGATGACATATATGTTATTGACGAAAATTATAGCAAGCAGATCTCAATACTGACACCAAGATTTGTGGGGGAGGCCCTCATTCTTAGTGGCAAGGTTGCCTTCCCTCGGCTGAACAGGCAGAAAACTAACTGGAATTTGAGTAGGCGACTCTTCTGGTCAAGACTGTCATCCGGGGTTAGAGGTGCCAGTGGGCGAGGGGTGGAGATAAACAATGGAAAACCATCTACCTTGTAGGGTTCACTGAAGAGGGAGTAACTGGAATTAAATGTGCCATCATCCTGTTGAGTCTCCTGATTTCTCCTTTCTCGTTCTTTCCTCCGTAACACGTTTCTATCTGGTTCATAGACACTGCATCAGGAGAAAGAAAAGAGAGTAACTACACACAAACATCAAAGGCTAACGTCCAGCATGACATTCGCCCAAGTGCAGAAGTCTGGTTCACGGACAAATGGTGATGATGACAAGAACATGGATCCGGTTAAAGCTAGTCTAACCAAGGAGTGCGGGCTCAGGTGTCGGATAATTACAGTCTTCGGAAGGAGAAAAGTCCTGAGGACAAGTCCCAGCCAGCGCCAGACCTCTCTGCATGGCCTGTGAGAGAGGAACTGTCTAAGCAACTCTGACAGGAGAAGGCTGAGAGTAATCTTAAGGCAGACGGTAATTACTGCAATGTGTAAATAGAAATCACAAGCACATTCCCTCCTATGACATGGTCCCCGAGTGTTATGTGGGCATGCTCCTGTATTTTCCTTTTTTTTCTTTTTGCATGGCTGTGTTTCTGTAGTGATTCTTTCATTAACTGGCTCCCTAAAGAGCTGTTAAACTCCATGCTGCAGTGGCTTTCACAGTTACGAGCCTTCTTCTGATCTCTGTTAATCAGTCAAGTCGTCAAACTAGGACTGAATCAATTCTTCCTTTTGATATATTTGACACTATCACTCCTCCTAACTATGAAAAATGTGCCAGGAGGAAGGGATACGGGCAACGAAGGGAGAGAGCGGAAATTGAATTATGGCGTGTCATCAAGGAACCCGGCCTTTTGTTGAAGAAAATTAATATCTCTTCTCCTAAAATGCAATTATGAAGTGACCAGACACCAGCTAACTGGGAGGACTGAGAAAGAAATAGTGTTCCTTCCCCCTATTGGGGAGAAAAGAAAGGGCCTAATGTAACTAATAATGAGGAAGGGACCCGTGTAGTGAAAGGAGGCAACACGCTTGTTTTTTTTCAGCTCACCAGATAAAGAAATCCGGCCTAGCGTAGGCACAGAGCTCACACTACGGGTTGTCAAGAACCTGTGTGTCCCTCAAAATGAGCACCGTCTTCGTTTCCTCGCAGAAGCATTTCGCTTAAGTGGCCTTGCCATCGTTTTGCTTAGAGCTCCCGCTTGGTCCAGTGCGGGCAGATGCTCAAGCTGGAGCAGGACAACTACCTACTGACTGTGGGTCTCCCCTAATCAATAATGTGATGCCAAAACACACAGGCTTCGTCTCTCCCCCTACCCCACCCCATCTTCATTATAGAGCAGGGGGTTTCACGGGGTGGGGTACATGTTTAAACATGAAGACAGTCTATAAAGAGGGCTTCGCAATGGCTTTCGGTGCCACAGTCCAATGTATAGCCAGCAAATACTGTTAATAACTATTAATAATGAAAGGATCTATGGGTCCAAAGAAGCTTATGAAAACAGTAAGGATAACCAATTCTTTAGTTAAACTGTTAACTTGAGTAAAAGAGAGAATATTTGTGTTATGTAGCTGTAGAGGGCACAAATAAAATAATCATAAAATATATATTGCTTATCCTCCTAGCTCTGCCCATGTGGCCAGAATATACTTTAAATTCGCTGTCTCCATGGTGATGCTAGAAATGCTCCGGGCAAGGCTGTGAGAGCACCTAGAGCCCTGCATTAACATGTAAGAGTGAGGGATGTCAAACACACACACACACACACACACACACACACACACACACACAGAACATGTAGCCCATTCGCATTTTAATGGGCTACATGTAGCCCATTCGCATTTTAATTCATCCTTAATAATTTACCCAAAGTTATTAGATTTGGGAGTCCAACCAGTGACCTTCATACAAAGAGAGACTGCAGCCACAGCTGACCACCTGAGGGGCCCACAGCGCCTACACCCATCACCAAGCACTGGGGTGGCCCTGGTGGCACTGAATGGCATAGGGAGGCACAAGATGACGATGACACTCTCACAGAACCAGGCTTCCTGTTCAAAGGTGAGGATAGCACGGTCATGCCCTGCCATGGATAGGCACAACGTGAAACCCCAGCTTTCACGATTTCAAATGGAGATTTCTCTAAGGACACATGACTCATGCTATGGATAGACACGATGTGGGCTTTAGCCAACAGAATTTCAGTTTCACTCTGAACTCACTACCTTTTGGACCAAAACCAGCATTTGCAGTAAGAAACAAAAAGCGTGCATTGCATGCATCACCTTCCTCCCTGGCCAGTGCCTACAGACACCTGGGAGGCCCCTACTGTGCTGACCTCCATGCACACAGACCCCCACAAATATGCTTGCTGTCCTCAGCCAGGCCAAGCCCACCAAACATATAAGACTGGTGTGATGTATGATATGACCATAGGTGACATGGAGCAGGCAGGTGGTCATTTAGGATGATTTGGGGCTCCCGAGAAGGCCCCCATGCCCAAAATAATACCTCCTGCATCGGCTGGTTGACGACTGAAATTCCACGACTAGAGAGTCACTCCTCTGGTTTAAGATGTCTTCACCCCTGTAAGAAACGCAGACACCACAGAAGGGAAAACATTTAAACCTGACCAGCCCTTGTATCTTAGCGTGCGTGAGCTGGTCTGCTTTTTGCCCCCGAGGGCCAAGCAGAGGGCACAAGGACATCAGGGTGCAAAGGGAGCCCCAAAAGGAGGCGTTATAAGAAAAGGGAGGGAGTGTAGCAATGAAAACAAATTGATTAACCCCACCTATTAGCAACCTGGCTTACATGCTCAAGACGAAGACATCAGGATAAAAGCCAAAATCAATTAGGCAGATACCAGACTCACTGCATCTCTAGGGTCAGGGGAAAGGATCGCTTCCCAACATGAAGTGAGAGGTGAAGAGGACGCTGCTCCTCCTTAACAAGATTTGCCTCACTCCCCAACCCCTTTAAGCTTGATGGTCACCCAAAGCACCCCAGGGTGCAGATCACTGCTAGCTAAAGCCTCTGATGGGGTCCTGCCTGTATACCCGGCCTATGCCTTCTAATACTAAAAAGGACTGGACACCCTCAGGACCACCTGCACATAATATACCAACAGAAATGCACTGGCCATCTTTTTTCTTTTTCTTAATTTTTACAAGATCCTCACCCCAGGACTGATTCTTAGGCAAGAGTGGTGGGGGAGGGGGGAGGATAGAGAGGGAGAGAAATATCGAAAAGAGAAACATCGATTGGCTGTCTTCTTGTATGTACTCTGACCAGGGATTGAACCTGCAATCTTTTTTGGCGCATGGGATGACACTCCAACCAACTGAGCCGCCAGGCCAGGGCTGCACGGACCATCCTTTATGGGACCACCCCAGTGCTGTGTCATGCAGTACCCTCCACACCATCAGATGAAAACCAAATGACCAGAATCATCCCCCAAGAAGAGGGGCAACTCTTCCTCAACGCCTTCCTCTCCAGTGGTATCTCATCTCCTCCTTTAGTAAGCAGCCCTGTGGTCTCCACCGAGCATTCAGCTCTTCCCAAGCCACCCACCCTTATCTTTCACTAGAACCGCACCCCCACGTGCCGTGTCAGCCTAGGCAGCTGTAATGCCACCTGCTTAAAGCAAATGTCATTGTAAATGGAAGCCTGGACTTGCCATCCCCACCTCTCCCTCAGCATCCGAACTTTGATCTCTTCTCCCAATACTAAACATTTTGACTCAAAAAGACAGTATCTTCTCGACAGCAAGTCCACGGACCCACTAATTACAGGTGAAATCTTTGCAGGCGTCCGTAGTCCCAAAGGATGCCTTTCTTTTGATCTGTTGCCATTAACACTCAGCCCTCTTCCCTCCTCTGGGTTCACACAATGTGAGGACCACGCCATTTGCTTTATTTTTGTTGTTGTTCAGCAGTTTATTTTGTTCATTAGATTCCACATACAAGCGAGATCATACAGTATTTGTCTGTCTCTGACGGGCTTATTTCCCTTAGCGAACCTTTCCCATGCCAGGCTGACAGGCCAGCCTCACTGCAGACTGAAGCTACGGAGAATTCTGAGTCCTGGCACGCCACTGTACACGCTAGACTCAGTCAGAGCCTCGTGTTACGAGCTGTGTTTCTTTGTTACTAGCAGATGGTAAAATTTCCATCATCTGTAAAGTTGTTCCTGATTTCTGTGAAAATTACAAGAACTACACTCTTCAAATGTATGTCACCAAATGTATTCATTCATTTTGCATGAAAGTGGAGGCAGCCAACTGCTACAATGTTATTTATTATTTATTGCAGATGTATAACATTCCAGAAAACGAAGCTTTTTAATAAACTCCTTTAAAAAAACACACTTATTTTTAGAATTAAAAAATGAACAATAAAAATGTAGTAAAAACTTCCTGGTCATTTCAATTGATTTGTTTTAATCTACATATCGAAGTATGCTGCAGGACTCAGGCAAAAGTCAACTGTGCCAGTTAAGTAGGAATAGATGTTCAAACGTGATCTTATCGTCATTTCCAACATTAATGTAGTCTTGACCATATGGTAACAGTATGGAACTAAATAACAGTAATAACTTTGAGCCTAATGGCTTCTCCCTTCCACTGAGTTCAAAACACTTCCCTTACCTGTCCCCTAATTATCCTTACAGTGTCCCTTGGAGAAAGATAGTGACAGTAGATATTGCTAGATTAACTTTTTAAAGATCAAGAAACTAGGATAAAAGTTTGATCATTAGCCCTAACCGGTTTGGCTCAGTGGATAGAGCATCGGCCTGCGGACTGAAGGGTTCCAGGTTCGATTCCGGTCAAGGGCATGTACATTGATTGCGGGCACATCCCCAGTAGGGGGTGTGCAGGAGGCAGCTGATCAATGTTTCTCTCTCATCAATGTTTCTAACTCTATCCCTCACCCTTCTTCTCTGTAAAAAATCAATAAAATATATTTTTTTTAAAGTTTGATCATTAAAATGATATCATAAAGAAGACATTATTTGCCAGTGATACATCTGATAAGAGGTTATTTTCCAAAATACATAAAGAACTCATACAACTTAACAAAAGGAAGACAAATAATCCAATTAAAAAGGGGGAAAGAACCTGAATAGATACTTCTCCCAAGTGGACATACAGAAGGCCAAGAGACATATGAAAAAATGCTCAAAATTACTAATCATCAGCAAGATGCAAATCAAAACCACAATGAGGTACCACCTCACACCTGCCAGAATGGCTACCATCAACAAATCAGCAAATGACAAGTGCTGGCGAGGATGTGGAGAAAAGGGAATCCTAGTACACTGCTGGTGGGAATGCAGACTAGTGCAGCCACTGTGGAGAACAGTATGGAGTTTCCTCAAAACATTAAAAGTGGAACTGTCATTTGATCCAATGATCCCACTTGTAGGAATATATCCTAAGAAACCCGAAACACCAATCAGAAAGAATGTATGCACCCCTATCTTCATAGCAGCACAATTTACAATAGTTAAGACCTAGAAATAGCCCGAGTGCCCATCAGCAGATGAGTGGATAAAAATACTTGGTATATTTACACAATGGAATACTATGCAGCTATGAAAAAGAAGGATCTCATATCCTTTGAGACAGCATGGAGGGAGAGAGTATTATGCTAAGTGAAATAAGCCAGTCAGAGAAAAAAAAGTATCATATGATCTCACTTATATGTAGAATCTAAAAAAACAAAATAAACTGACGAATAAAATAGATCCAGCCGAAACCGGTTTGGCTCAGTGGATAGAGCATCGGCTTGCGGACTGAAAGGTCCCAGGTTCGATTCCGGTCAAGGGCATGTACCTGGGTTGCGGGCACATCCCCAGTGGGAGATGTGCAGGAGGCAGCTGATCGATGTTTCTCTCTCATCGATGTTTCTGACTTTCTCTCTCTCTCCCTTCCTCTCTGTAAAAAATCAATAAAATATATTTAAAAAAAAAAAATAGATCCAGAGACGTGTAAACATGGAAGAGACTGATGAATCACAGAGGGAAGGGGGTGGGGGAAGATCAACCAAAGAACTTATATGCATATATGCATAACCCATGGACACATAATAGTGCAGTGAAGGCCTGGGGGCGAGGGGTGAGGTGGGAGCAGGTTGCAGGGGGTCAATGGGGGATAAAAGAGCACATCTGTAATACTTTCAATAATAAAGATAAATTAAATAAATAACATTATGCAAAAGGAACAGCAATATCTACAGTTCTTTCCTCCTGTCTGTCCAGGGAAGAGGAGCTGCCCATGAGCCAAGGAGGCCACACTTGCTACACCCTGATGTCTACAAGCCCAATGTTCACAAATAGAGCTAATGAGCCCCATGGCAGCAACAAAGGACACGCAAAGCAAAGGGAAGCTCTTCCTCACGCAGAAAGAACGAAAAGGAGAATTCTGGAATAAAGCCTGGGCTGTTGTAATTTTTAATACTCCCAAAACAAAAGACAAAAACCAGTCTCTCTCCACAACGCACACATGCAACATAGACTACTGGACTAGAGGACAGACAGAGAAGGAACTATAGATTCAAACGCAAGGCAGATGGTAGCACCTTTTTCACCATATCCGAGCCATTCATCAGCCCTGCTCCAACCTCTGCCCGCGCTGCCCTGCTGGATGGAAAGGCTCTGGGCTCATGCGGCCCACCTCCAGCTGAGCCCAGCGCTGACCCAGCTGACCCCGCTGGCCTGGAGAGACGGCTCGCCTCCCTCTGCGCGGTCCATATGCCGCCGTCTGAATCTGAACAGTTGCTCGAAGCAAACGGCATTTGCCGTGAAGGAGGCTTTCTGCCAAGGGTAAACACAGCTAACTGTACCCCTTAACAAGAATCATCGAAGTGTTTTATTCCTTTAAAAAAATTATCCAACCTACTGGTATATCTCTAGGGTTGGGATCCAGGAACAAGGGAACTCACGGAGAAGAGAATGAACCACCGCTCACCTATTTTGGAAAGACGTTATCATGTTCTCCATGTTTAAAAACATTGCCCTCTTCAAACAGCAAATAGAACTACAATTCACTTCCGTCCAAAAGCATTTCCTGAATGCCATGGTGCCAGATGCCAGGGAGACAAGGAGGGCGGTGAGCAGTATTTGCTGCTGCTGAGAAGCTGACCATCCAGGGGTGGGGGGAGGGGATCAGGGAGACGGGGTGCATGCTAAGCAGAGGCTGTTGACACCCCTGGCCAGGCACAGGGAGTCAGGATTGCTTCCTGGGACAGATGGCCTTCGAGCTGGGCCTCAAAAAAAGGGCAGGTGGGGAGAGGGAAGGGAAAATAAGGGCTTAGGGTGCAGACACGGAAATTACTACCAGTGGCCTTGGAGAGTATTCAGTGGAGGTGAGCCCTGCCCTCCCCATGCCATCGTGGTTCTTTAAACAGAAGTTCCATTTCTCTGATCTGCTCCACTACTGACCTGGCCTGGCCACCTCGCCCTACATGTGTATCTGATCCCTTTCTGAAAGCAGGTTTGGTGGGGAGCAAGTAAGTGAAAAAAACTTCCTTTACAGTTCGCATCAGGCCTGGCCCCGAACGGCTTGATCCCAGGGAAGACCATTTTTTCAGCCATGGAGCCGTCACGGTCCCGAGACAACATGGGAAGCTGTCCCTGGGGTGGACCGGCGGCCACAAGGCAACGGGAAGAAGAAGGGCCTGAGTGGAGAAGGGAGAGGCTTCCCAGAAACTCTGCTCTTCAGAGCAGCAGCAGAGACGGTGTTAATTACAGAGACTCAGACCCTGAGAAAGGATAGCAACTGCTTCAAATTGAATGAGTCAAACTCATTAACATCTCTTGTTATTTATAAAGCTAATGATAACAGATCAGTCATCCTTTCTTAAGTCAGAGAAAAGCAA